CTGCCAACCAAGGTTTGCTATTTTGCCTCACATAAATGAGGAGGCCCCACCCAAGAATCTCCCCTCAGCCCACACCAGCGCTGCAGGGGGGCCCATGTTTTTCTGATTCCCACCTGGACGCAAGTTCCTTGATTCACAACTTCCTGCCCAGGGCCTGGCCTGGCTCAGGATCCAACGGAGGAAGGCTGTGTGTGGGGAGAGCTGACAGTGCCCTTGGGCTCAGGTTTCTCTCACTTTGGGCTTCTCTGCTGATCCCATGAATGGAAGTGCATTTTCCCACCCAGTTGAGTCGTCTTTGGAAACAGTGCTTGCAGTGAGAGCCACGTGTTACCTATTGTCACACTTCTTAGGTTTGTTCACCTCTGCTGTTTTCCGTCCTCATTGAGTAAAGGGAGTTGGTATTTAAGGGAGCTCACGTTTTCTAGAACCTTGCATGGCTGGGCACTGGGGTAACCCCTTTCCCACACATCCAAAGGGACAGGGAGCAGAGAGGACACCCACCCAACACTGGGCATGTCACACACAAGCTGTGGAGGCAGACAGCCTCTGTAGATCCCCTCCTTATCCACCCGTCAGGAAGCCACTTCACCCTGGGAGCCTCAGTTCCCTTCCATCTAAATGGGGACAACATCTAGGGTGCAATGGTGCACACCTATAATCCCAGCAACACAGGAGGCTGAGGCAGGAGGAGGGCAAATTCAAGGCCAGCCTCAGCAATTTAGCAAGGCCCTAAGCAACTTAGCAAGACCCTGTCTCTAAATAAAAAATAAAAAGGGCTGTGGATGTGGCTTAAGTGGTTAAGGGCCCCTGGGTTCAATTCTAAGTACCCCCCAAAATACAAAAAAAAAAAAATAATAAAGTAAAATGGGGACAGCACAAGTCTACGTCATTGTAAGGGCCCAAGAGATAGGCAGAGGCCCCTCAGGGAGAAGCACCTTACTTGTGGCGGCTTCTCCCTAGGGCTGTCTCCTCTGTGTCCCCACTGTCACCGCAATAGGGCTGAAAGAACGGGTCCCTGTCCCCCTGATTCCCCAGGACACCTCAGACTAGAGTAGGCTGACCAAGACCCCGCCTCCCCAGCAGGGGGCACACTTTCTCAGAGCCTTCCTTGAAGACAACCTCCTGGGCCCTATAGAAAACCACACTGGCCTTCAACAGCAGTGGGCCAGGCTCCATACTGTCCAGAACCATTCCACTGTGTAGAGCACTGTGAAAAATAAATTTCCCTTGTTTCTGCACTAGTAGATGACCAGGTGTGATTGGCAGGGCTGCTGCAGCCAGGGTAGCAGTGTGAGGTTCCCTGGCCGAAGGGCCCACACCAGCCTACAGGTCCAGCTCCCTCTTCTGGACAGGGGCAATGAGACCAATCTGTGCCTTTACCACTACCACATGAAATGGCGATTTCTGAAAACTTTGGAAAAATAAAAAAATAAGGTTGGTTTTGCCAAAAATGTGGAGTTTGCTCCCTATCCCACCGCCTGTCCCCCTCTTTGTATCTCTGCCTCTGTCTCTCTCTAAGCCTTTTAAACACAATGCTAACCTTATCATTTCCTTGTCTTAACTGGGATTAGTTAGAGACGGGGCTAAATTTGTTTAGACAAGCTCTACATTAAAAAGAGGAAGGCCAAGTACATTGAGTCTCCAAGTCCAGAGAACATTCCATTCCCCGAGCTTCGGTTTACAACTGGCTGTGCTTTACGTTAGAGGACAAGCTATAGCTTGTAAAACCAACGTGGAAATAATCTCAAGTATGAGGCGCCGACTGTTTATTATGCAACTAGAGAAGAGTCTGGCCAGGAAAAATCTTTAGCTGAAAGCAAAAATGATCTGTACTTAATTGTTCTTGAGCAAAATTAAAATGTCTGTTTCTTTGATGATATCTTGGTGGCAGGCCGTCCCTCTATCAGCCTGCCCAGTGCAACTAGCCAGGTTGACTGTCACCCACAGACTCGTTGTGACATGATGGGAAGGGTAAGAATCCCTGGGCGAGAAAGCCAGTCGAGTGTCTGTTCTGTTCAGTAGACATTTTTAAAGCCCACTCAAAGTCCTAAATTTACAACTTTAACATTTTGTCTGTAAAATCAATACCTCTGGGCAATGCCTATTATTTGAGATCCACTTACGCTTCAAAAGCATTTTGATCATATTCCATAAACCGTCCCTTCTTTATTAAATGCATACCACAGTCAGGTCAGACTCTCGAGTGTGATTCCAGCCGAATCAAGGGAAACTCCTGTGTGACTGTCCTTATCATCTTTCATTTACAAAGCATTTCCCCTGAAATCACTTCTCTCCTGCCACCCGGACTTGTGGAGGGACAACATCTCAGGAATGGATGTGGCCTTTTGTAAACGTCCCCTGTACCTCTGAGTCCTGGGGCGCTCTGTGGCGTGCTGGGTTTTCTCCAGCGCCCTCACCTCCATCAGGACATCTCCCCTGGATAGCCTTGTTTCCTTCACACTTCACATTCTCTCAGCTTTGCTTGGCTCATTGATCGACTTTTTCTCCTAACAAAAAAACATAAACTCCGCTGGGGCCAGTGGCGCATGCCTCTAATCCCAGCAACGGGGAGACTGAGGCAGGAGGATCATAAGTTCAAAACCGGTCTCAGCAACTTAATGAGACCACCTCAAAATCTATAAAAATAGTAATCATAATTTAAAAAAAAGACTAGGGTTGTAGCTTAGTGGCACGTGGATTCAACCCCCAGTGCTATCTCCCAGGTTTCTTGACACATAGCAGGTGCTCCATAAGTATTTGTGAAGCTACCTATTAAAAGAAGACAAAGGCACTGTGGTTTTATTAATGACATTGAGAGATTTTGTCTTTCACTACATGCAAAATACATGCCTATAAAAATGGCAGTAAGACGTGTGTATTATTTGGTTGCTGTTACAGGTTCCTGAACCCCTCAGAATCACCCCAAGGACCAGCAGTTGAGAACCACCAAGATAAGGGTGCCGAGGACTGGGTTGACGTGCTGCAGATGGGATTCTCTTACCTGCTGTGTGCCCTAAGCCACCAGGCAGTTCCTGAACCTGGGTTTTCTGGTGTGGCAGATGGGAGCAATAACTCGTCTTCCTACCCAAGAGGGCGGAGGAGAGAACAGTGCTGACATGTGCAGACAGACCCCAGAAGCTCGGAAGGCCCCAGCACACCTGCAGACCCCCCTACCGACATGACCAACAGGCTCCCAGAGAAGCAGAGGCGAGCCCGGCCTGCCACTGCAGTCAGCCCGGTTGATGAGGCCTCCAGCCTCACTTTGAGCTAGGAGGACGACTCCCAGTCTGTTGGCCATCCCAGGGCAAGGCAGTTGGGTACGGGTTTGCCCTGGGTGCAGCTCCCTGGGTGCAGCTCCCCGGGAGCCACAGAAGTTGTGTGTTGGCTCCACCCGGGGAGATTCCCCTGATCACGGAATATGCACATCTTTTGCCTTTAACCTTGACGATTGCAACTGGTACTCAAAAATCTATTCTAAGTCAGGTTCCTCTGCTGTTTCCTGTTGTCTCAAGTGAGCAGGAAATTTTAAAATGTGTCAAAACGTTTTATCTCTGACCTTTCTGTTCATAGGAAGGAAGAAAGGAGGGAAAAGGGAAGGGGTGAGGGGGAGAAGTGTCCTGCACACAGAGGATCAGGATGGCTGATCAGCCGCCCTCTGTCCTCACCAGGGAGTCGCGCTGTCTCAGCATGGCCACCAACTACCGCACACAGGTGCACCCAGCATCGAGGCACCCTGCTCCGGTGTCTCCTGGCTCGTGATCGACACCTGAACATCACCAACCATGCGCTCAAATCACGTTGCATTTTTAAAACCTGGGCTTTGTGATTTGTGAGCGCTTTTACTGTGAACTTTCCACACTGACGGGGAACTGTAAAGTCAGAACGGTAAGCTCAGGGAACAGCACGTCTGTGTCCTGGCCCGTCCTCAGTCCTGCGTCCTAAGCCAGGCTCCCTCAACACTAGTTACTGTCCTCTACAATCTACATAAATGGCGCTCTACATGCATCTTCTTGAACATTTGCTTCTTTTGGTCCTTAGGTTTGGGAGAGTCATTCATGTTCCCTTAACTGGCAAAACAGGACTTTATCGTGTGAAGAGAACGTCTCCGAGAGTCCACTCCGTGGCAGGTGGGTGGGTAGGTGGCCTCCTGTCCAAAGCTGCTCTGAACCATGGGCTGGGACGGTCCTGGGCCAGTCTCTTGGGGGACGAGACCTGCCTTCCTGCTGATTTCCACCAGGAGTGGGGTTCCTGAGCAGGAGGGCCCCCTCGCCCACTCAGCCGGTGAGACCAAGCCTCTCCCACTCCCAGAGCCAGGCGAGCAGAGGAGAGCTCCCTCCACCCTCCTCCCTCAGCAGTTCTCTGCATGGACGCTGTTTATTCTGCTCCTCTGTCCAACGCGCTGCGCACTCTCAGTACGCCCTTGACCTGCTCTTTTCTGGGTGCTATAACGTGGTGAGCATCTTTGCCTATGTTATTGGCCATTTGAACATTCTGTCAAGTATCTTTGAGTTCGTTCCTTTTTCTGTTGGGTAATTTAGTTTTGTGTATAGACTTTATATCAAGGAACTTTGTTAAACTTGCTTATTGTTATGAATAATTTACCTGAATCCTAATTCTTTTTTAATTTTCTGTTTTTTTTTTTTTTTTACTTTTTAAAAGTTCTACATACCTCCATATATTCTCTATCTACCCATGTCACTGTGAACACTGACAGTTTTATTTCTTCCTCTGCGATCCCACATCTTGTTTCCAATCGCTACCTTACTGCACTGGCAGGACCTCCAATGTAGGGGAGGATAGAAATAGTGAGGTCACAGAGGTCCTCGGCTGGCTGCCAGTCTCAAAGGTGAAGCTTTTGATATTTCACCATTAAAGATGATCTGTTGTACGTTTTCTCTAGTTATCCACAGACAAATCGAGGCAGTTCCTGTCTGTGCCCCTACGTGAGTCTATTTCTCATGAACAAATGTTGAGTTTTGCAGAACGCTTTCCCTGCACCCACTGACACGATCACATTGTTTTACTTGTTTATTCTGCTAATGATTGATTTTTCAAATATTTGACAGCGGCAATAGTTTGGATCTTGAATGCCCCCCAAGGGCCTGTGTGTTGGGGGCTTGTCCCCTAGACTGTGGTTCAATGGGGAGGTGGTGGAACCCTGAAGGGTGGGGCCCCGTTGGAGGAAGTTGGTCACCAGGGGTGTGCCCTTGAAGGGATGCTGGGATCCAGCCCCTTCCTGCCTGTCTTTCTGCTTCCCAGCCTGTGAGGGAAACAGGCCACCCCTGCCATATGTCACTGAGCCTCCACAGGCCCAAAGCAGCAGGATCAGACAACCCTGGAAGCTCTGAAACCACAGCCAGAGTAAACCTTTCCTCTTCTGGACTTGATTCTCTCAGGTATTGTGTCACAGTGACGAAAAGCTGACTAATCGCAGCCTTACGCTCCTGGAGTTAAACCCAGCCTTGTCATGAGATGGCTGTGAGAATCTGTTAGGATTCCTCTCAGGTTTCTCCTCTATGTTCATTCATGAGCTTAGTCTGTAACTGTCTTCCCCTGTGACGTCAGGTTTCTGTATCAGGGATGTGCTCTTAGGGACAGTTGAAAAACGGTTCTCTTTTTCTACCCAACAAAACAATCTCTTCACTACTTGTTAGATGTCCCAGTGAAGCCATCCAATTCCAGAGATTGTTGGAGAGGGGACAGAGTTAAATCCTGGATTTCCTTATTTTAACAGTTAAGGGACTAATCTGGTTTTATTTTTTTAAATGTTATTTTGATAGGTTATGTTTTTTTAAGGAATTTGTCCATTTATATTAATTTTTAAATGTTTTATAATAAAGTTAACCATAATATCCTCTACATCCCTGACCCATAATCTGTGGGGGAGGAGGAGCAGGGTGCTGGGATTGAACCCAGGGCCTTGTGCATACAAGGCAGCACTCTACCAGCTGAGCTAGATCCCCAACCCCCATAAGTATTTTTGCAGTGTGATTGCCTTTCTAAATCCTGATATTGGTTATCTATATATTGTTTTTCTCCACCACCCACCCTCATAACCTACCTTGCCATGGATTCATCAATGTCATGAGTCTTTTTGAAGAACTGCTTTTTGACTTTGTTAAACTCCTCTGTTAGGTGCTTGCTCTACAGCCACATGACAGGTTTTCGCTTCTGTTCTTATTTTCTATATTGCCCTTGCCCTCCTGATGACCTGGGCACCTTAGTCATCCTCCCAACCTTTTAGATTTTCTGCAGGATCGAAAAAAAAAAAAAAATGGCCGAGGCCCAGGCTTCAGGGACCCGGCTTCAGGAACCCAGCATCCTCCTCATGCACCCGCCTGGCCACTCCGCTCTTTGCTCGTCTTTGTGATGCTTTCAAGACTGATGTAGACATTTTACCAGATTTTTTTGACGGCCCTGAGTTTACTTCTCCCCTAGTTGTGCCACGGACTGCTCCCTCCTGCTCCAGCCTGGGTCAGTGATAGCATCACGTGTTGGAGGAAAGAATCACACCCGTTTTCCTCCTGGTTCATGGCTGATAAGCTCGGCCATGACGTCAGATCACACCCATGCAGACCCACCCACTAAGGAAATCACAAGTGGTGTTGCAGGAATGTTCTCTTATACGGAAGTCACGGAGGGGATCCCCAGAGTGGCCCAACGTTGGCCCCGAGGAGATTCTGCTTTTTCTGGGGTTCAGAGTTAGGGCCGTTTCTCGTTTCCTCTTTGGCTTTGTCTGTCTTTCCCACATTCTCCTGGCCGTGTGGGCTGTACTGGCTCTGCTTGGCCACTCCAGGGCCCCCGACTCTTGACAGGTTAGTTCTGGTCTCTGCTAACACAATGGCTCACGATTCACTGAGTCTTCATCAATTGATTTCCATCAATATTTGTTCTTTTCAGCAAGGTCTGCAAATCTATCCCACCACCACCCCCCCCTCAGCACCTCCACTCGGTTACTTGGAACCTCCTCCTCTGTGTCTAGGGCCTGCTTGCTGCCTTCCTGTGGCTGGGGTTAGCAGCAGGCTCACCCCCTGCTAATTACACGATAACATCCTCTCTCCATGAGTGTTCTAAGATCTTGAACAAACTTAAAGAAGCACAAGTTCTAAGAATACCTACAAAAAAAACCCAGCAGATTCCACAAGTAACAGAAACGAGTCACATTTTTAGCCATATCCTAAGCATGTTGTTTTGAAGCAGATGGAGTTGTCAGGAGGCTTTTGCAAGTTCCCAGTGCCTCCATTATTCTTTGGAATCACTGTGCTTACCTGTGTGGGTGGGCGGCAGCTTGCCTACCACAGCCCAGCGGGAGCTCCATACAGCCTTGTGCACACACAGCCATGGCATGTGGATATCACAAAGCCACTCTTCAAGACCAAGCCAAGGAAACATCAATCCACAGCCTCACCATCATAACACAGCCAACATTAATACCTGGTTCTCTTTCTTTTCAACATCTTTTTCCCTATAGTATCCTTGCCAGTATTGGAGAATAGCATTGTAATGTTTATTCTTTTCTCTCTGTCTCTCTTTTGTTTTTGTTTTTTGTTTTGGTTACTACGAATTTTACAGATAAAGCTGATTCTTTCCCTTAATTTTCCATTTCATTGTTGATAAAACTGAATATTTTCATAAACTAGCTACTAACTGTGTTTCCTCTGATGTTTTAAGGGGGAAAAAAAACTTGCTTAGGATTGTTGGTATTCTTTCAAAATGACAGATTTCTATCTCACAATTTTTCAGAGTCCTGGCTCTAATTAAATTGATAATCATTTGGCTTTTTTGAAAAACTAGTACATAATGTTGCCCACTATGTAATTCCACACCATTTTTTAAAACTCAGAAGAGCTTAAGTCAATGGAGTGGAAAAGGGGCCAAGGGAGGTCTCCTTCCTCCTGCAGGCTGCTCCTCGCGGCTCAGCATCTAACACTCATGTCAATGAGTTCTTCGTTAGAGGCTCTGCTGTATTAAAAACACTCACGGGCAAACCTCTTTTGTGTTGCAAGATGTGGGCAGGCCTCAGGGTCCGTGGGTCTGCAGATGGTCCCTCCTTTGCCGAGCCCCTGCCCTCCATGTGCTCTGTGTGCCTGGGTCCCCTCTTCAGGAAGGAGCTGTGAAGCTATCCTGGGTAATACAGTGAAATAAGGTTGACATGGTTCGGAGGAACCAGTCTCCCTAGGCCCCACTCCCTTTAGGATGCTGGACTCCCAAAACTCTTCCCCTTCCTTGGTGGTGCCTCCTCGTGTTGGTTTCCCTGGTTAGTATTTGTCCACACAACACATTTGTAGGACCCAGTATGTGCTGGGCATGGCTCCAAGTGCTGGGGACAAAGAAAAGTCATTCCCTGGTGGGTGGAATGTACTGACCAGTGGGGTCAAGAAACCAGTGCCACGGTGAACAAATAGATGTGACATAATGTTGCATGTGCCCTGAAGAAGAATAAAGCAGGGTAAGGGGTGAAGCTTAGCAGGAAAGGGGACAGGGAGTGGGGAGAATGACACTGGGCAGGATCACACATCCACCCTGCGTTGTCTTGTGATCAAAAGAGCCATCTCTGCTGTCCTTCATCCTGAGCAGATTCCCCCCCTTCTACCCATAAACCCCTGACAACAGTGACGATGACGTCTGTCTCACCTTTGCACCCACGAGGCCAAACACGAGATGCATGACTAACACAATTTGGTTACAGCAAAAAATAATAATAATAATAATAATAATTCTTTTCAGGATGCTTCCATTCACTTAATGTCACCAACCAGCAATTCCTGGATGTTTCTTGAATTTTCTGGAAGCCCCTCCCGGCTTGAAGCAGACTCTGTCTACCGGGTCAATAGTTCCTGGGGCTTTCCTAACAGCGGCCCGTGCTTATACTACATTTGCTGGATGCTGTTCTGCAAAATGGCCGAAGAGTTTCACCCCCACCCCCAGGCTTGGTCGGGTTCCAAGTCTGCATGTGAACATGGACCCATCAGCTGTGCCAACAACTTTGACACAGTTTCTCATCAGAGAGCGGCTGGCCCTCCCACACAGTCCCACAAAACCTCTGACTCTCCAGTAACTCATTAGACACTGCTCCCCGGCAGGCCCTGGAGCCCAGGCTGGGGAGGGCCTCCCTCATCCAAGAAAAGGCGCTTACTTCACCATCCCACAACCAAACACCAAGCTTGGCAAAAATAAAAATAGCAGCCTTTGTTTCAACCCTGCCCAAAACCTCAGGGGTGTGTGTGTGTGTGTGTGTGTGCGTGCGTGTGCGTGCGTTTGTACCCACACGCTTCTGCTTGTCTTAAATGGCCCATGTTCCTCTGGTGAAAGGCATGTTAGGAAGAGTTTGAGGAGAAGGAGCCGCAGGGTTGATGTCTCCTTTCTTGACCTGTGTTCAAGTGAATGGACCCCAGTCAGACTCTTCCTAGGATCCAGCAGGAAAAATCTGTGCCCGCCCCAAATACTCAGCCTTCCGGGTAGAAATAAGCCTGGAGAGGCATTTTGACATAAACCTGCTGATGTGCTTCCTGCTGGGAAGTGGAGGATGGTTCTAGAAGGAACTATTTTAACAAAATCAAACAAGGCATAAACCAGGGGCCTGAGAGGAAGGCCGGGTCGTCCAGCTGGCTCTACCCTGATTCTCAAACGCCCCTGAGGGCTCAGTGCTGCGCAAGGGAGAGGTGGGAGACCCAGTCCCTGATAGGTCATCCTCCCAGCTGTTGGGGACTGCAGGGTCCCCCTGCCACCAAAATCACATTTGAGACCCAGCCCCCAGCACCTCCTATCTGGAGAGAAGGCCTCTGCAGAGGTGATGAAGGTAGCCTGAGGTCGTAGGGTGGGCCCTGATCCCATCTGTCCTCATGAGAAGAGGAGGCCTGACACAGACGCACCCAGGGGACAAACACATGGGCATGCAGGGGGGAGGCGTCCTGCCAGTGAAAGAGAGGGCCCAGGAGGGACCAGCCCTGCACACGCCTGTGACCCCAGCTACTCAGGGGCAGGAAGATTGCAAGTTTGAGGCCAACCCCAGCGAGGCTCTGTCTCCAAATAAAAAGGGCTGGGGTGGGGAGAGCTCAGTGGTAGAGCACCCCTGGGTTCAATCCCCAGTCTCTCTCTCTCTCTCTCTCTCTCACACACACACACACACACACACACACACACACACACAGTCTGTTGTTAAAGCTCTGGCCTGCGGGGCTTTGCACAGTCCAAGCAGACTCCTACACCAGTGCCCACTGCCAGGTTTCCCAGGGCACAGCCAGTTTCTTACTGCTCCAGGGAAAGTCCTTCAGACTCTGCAAAGCGGAACTCATATCCCCAGATGATCTCAGTAGAAGGTGCCAAGGCCACCCGCCCCTCTCTCCTCTCCACCATCTCCCTGGACCCCTCCTCTTCCCTCTCCCCTCTCCCCGTCCACGCCAGGGCAGTGTGTGCTCCCCCAGCACTTAACTTCGCCCGCCACGTGCTGCTTATCTTGTGACATTTCTGCCTCTTCCTTGGGACTGTTTTCAGGATCCTTGCAGCATGAACATTTGATCTGTTACTTCTAATTGCGGATCCCAAATTTCTGAAGATGCCTTTCTCCTGCCTTTGCACGTGATGGACCATTTCTTCAGGTCTAGAATCCAGTGGGAAAGGCTCTCACTCCAGACAGCTGCATCACCTTGCAGATCCCACACCGCTGTCAGGAAGGCAGCCTTTGTGCGGTGCCTTCTTTTCCTCTCCCTGGAGGCTTTTAAGATCTCCTTCTGGCCTTCATTGTCCTGAAATTGCGCAACGAAGTGCCTTAGTGTCGGTCTATTTTTATCCGTTGTGCCGAGCCCCTTCCACCTGCAAGCATGTGTCCTGCAGCTGGACAAGTCCCTTCTGATCTCTGCTCTCTCCTCTGGAAACCCTCACCTGGGACGCGGGCCTCCCGTTTCTTCTCTCTGCAGCTGTGTCTGCTTTCTGACACTTTCCCAACACTACCTTCCAATTCCAACCTTGCTTTAGGTCTTGGATGTCACCGATCATGTCATGACAGTCCCAAAGTCTTTCAACATTCCCAAGCTCCTTTGGTTGTCCTTGTTGTTTTCTGAGTGTTGCTTTTTTTATAATCTCCCATTCTTGATGCATAGATGAGAAATCTTCCCATCTGCCTGCTACTAATAGTAAGTAAGCAGAGTCTACTTCCTCCAGGTTTTGGGTTTTTTTTAAGTTGAGAAATAATCCACATGAAATTCAGCCTTGGTTGATATATTCCGAGTTGTGCCACCGTCATCAATATCCATTGCAGAACATCTTCACCAAAGGAGGCCCCATCCCTGCTCAGTCATTCCCAGCCCCTCCCCCCCCAGGTCCTGGGAACCAGGAAGGCACTTTTCTGTCTCCACAGCTGTGCCTCTTTTGGACATTTCATACAGATGGACCCTATGGTATTTGGTCTTTTGCGTCTTGCGTCTGGCTTCTGTCCCTAGCATCATGTTTTCAAGATTCCTCCACGTCATACCATGTGTCAGTCCCTCATTCCTTTTGAGGTGGAAAGAGCATTGTCTTGTATGGGTAGAGCACAATACACTCATCCATTCATCAGCTGATGGACATGTGGGTTGTTCCTACCCGGGGAGCAGCTCTTTCTGTGTGTATGTCCCCGGGGGTTGTTGAAAGCCCTGATGTATTTTTATCTTTCCCACTCCTCACTTCCCACCGGTGCTTGGCAGGCAGTTGGTTCTACCTTGGTGCTTATTTTTAACCCGGGAAAACTAGAAAGCAGATTAAAGTCTACACGTTGACATGGGGCCATCCTAGAGACCCACCCCCCGGGAGCCCCAGTAGTGTGGTCTGGCTGGAGGCTGAGAAGATGCTTCCAGCCTGCTGCTTAGAGAGTGAATGTCTGGCTGCCACCTTAGGGAGCAGGGGACCTGTGTGCATTTGTCTCCTCCCTGTGCCCTGTGTCCTGTGCAGTCCCACTGTGGGGGACAGCTCCTAGGCTCCTCTGTGCCATCAGCCCAGTGATGGCCTCTCCAAAGAAAAAGTCTCCAGGCCCCGCCAGGGTGTGTGCGGATGCCCAGGGGTCAGCTGCCTCTCAGACAGCCCTCACCGTCCTCCTTATCCAGGTCCCTTGCCACTTGCTCGGGTCTGAGCCCTAGAGTTTGGTACCCAGGACTTTCCACACCCCTGGGGCAGGGTTCGGCTTTCGGAGTCGGCAGAGCCCAGCGCCACAGTCCACCTGGCTCCGGACCCTTCATTGCTCTTGTCCTCACTGCCCTTCATCCTTAGGCATTTCTGCCTGATACACATTGTCCTTTGTGGATGAGAGGTGTCCACCTGCCCTTGTCCACCCGGGGGCTTTAAGCCGACTGTCTCGTCCAGTCCTCCTGGAGACCCCTGGGCAGATGCTGCAGTTCCTCTGAGGTAAACTGAAATGCAGAAAGCCTCGGGGACATCACCACAGCCACACTGCCCAGCAGGGCAGGGACTCTACACACCTGGCTGTAGAGTCCCAGCTTCTGCCGCAGAGCTGACCCGGGTCAACACTGACAGTGGTTTCATGACGAGGTCCTGTCTGATGACACAGGAAATCGGGGTCAGGAGGTGGAGGTGTGGGGAGAGAAGGGTCTGTGGATGACCAGGACCACCCTGGGGGCCCAGGGGATGCAGTGCCCAGCCAACATTGCCCCTCGGAGAAGAGAAAACGGGCCAGGTGACAGGTCAGAAGTGGGAGATGCCTGGGGCCAGCACTGGGCACCTCCCACTGGGGTCCGCTCCACAGCAGTGGGGGCAGTAGGACATGGCAGCTATTGAGCTCTGGAGAGCGCACTGGAGGACTCTGTGACTCATGTCATATTCAACTTTCAGTGTCCTTCAGCTGCCACACTCTCTCCAGAGCAACTCAACCAAACAGCTGCTGGAGACACCGCGGAGCAGAGAGGGTGCCGGATCAGGAGTGATGGAAGTTCTGCCTGTAAGAGACCTTCATGGCTGGGGTCTAGACCAACATCCTCATGTTTCTTTTGTTCTCCAAAAAGTCAAAGGCTGGGCCAAGGAGCAAGGCTGGGAGCAGCAGATTAGGGAGAAGGACGTGTGGGCACAGAGGCTCAGGCACCTGGAGTGGCCATGGGAAGGGGCCTCGGAAATGCCAGCACTAGGTCTGCCGAGAGGAAACCTTGGGAGGGGACTCTATTCCCTCCCCAACCGCCTCATCCGAGTCCCATGCAGTGGTGAGCATGCTCAGAACACCGCCCTGCAGAGCCCTGCAGAGGATGACTACTGTGGATGGGCCAAGTGTGTCTCCCCGAAGGCACCTTAAAGCCCAATCCTGGTACCTCCAAATGTGACCTTATTTTGATATAAAATCCTTGCAGATGAGATTAGTAAAGATGAGGTCATACTGGTCCTTAATCCAATGCAATTGGTGTCCTCATGGGAACAGAGGAGGGAAAGAGATGGACACGTGCTCGAGAAGTCACCATGTGGTGACAAAGGCAGGACAGGAGCAATGTGCCTACAAGCCAGGAGGGCCCAGGACTAGGGGGCCATGCCTGGCACTCGAGGAGGCTGGAAGGACTCTCAGGTGGGGTTTTTTGAGGGAGTGCAGCCTGCACACACCTTGATCTTGGACCTCTGGCCTCCAAACTGTGAGACAACCCATTTCTGTTCTTGTAAGCTGCCCGGTGTGAGGTACTGTGTCCCAGGAGCCTGAACAATGAATACAACCTTCACGGAGGGTCGGGGGCAGGACTTAAGTTTTGCTGCCACCCACCCCCCACCATGGTCCATTTGTTCTTGTCCTTATTTCAATTCCCAATACTAACAGTGACAACTCTGAGGCCTGGTCAGCTGTGAGCATCTGTAGGTTCGCTCGTGATCAGCCATCACAGCCCCAGCTGGCTAACGTCCATCTGCCAGCATTCTCCACCTCGGCCTGCAGCCAGGTGCTCACAGGGCTGGGGGAAGCCAGGGTAAGCCCCTGCAGACCCTGCCCTGATTGCTGCCCCTGCTGCCACACGGAAGGAATGTTGGACACGCCCAGAGGACAGTGTCATGGTAGCCCTAAATGCAATTGTTCGGGCAAGACGTGACACCCCTATTCAAACTGAAACTGAAAACAGTATCCCCGTGATAGACAAAAAAAGGGGAAAGGGAGTTTCGCTTTTTCGAAGTGAAAGGATACCTGCTGGTAGAAAAAATTGAAATTACATACAGCCTATAAAGTAGAATTAGCGGTGCAGCTGCCTTCTCT